ATCAATTAAATCGAAAGCCTTTTTATAGTCTACGAAGACCACTCCGGTAACATTGTCTTTGTCTAGATCAAGCAAGATTTGGTCACAAAGCCGTATAAGCGCCGTTTCAGTTGAAAAGGATTTTCTAAATCCCGATTGAAACTTGTGAAGTAATTGGTTATCCCTCAAAAAGTTACACAGATGAGCAACCACATGTTTCTCCAAGARTTTTGAMATCACTGGTAAAACTGATATCRGCCTGTAATTGGCTTTGTCATCCCTGTTTTCCTTTTCCTTTGTAGATGGGCGTGACTCTTGCCACTTTCCAAGCACTCGGGAAAGTTCTTGATCGTATGCAATGATTTAAAAGCTTGGTGAGAGAGGGTGCAATGGCTGGCGCAGCAATCCGTAGCAATTTAGCACTAACACCATCGTCGCCAGTTGCCTTCTGAGATGGAATTGAAAAAAGCAATTCCGCCACATCCTTCTGCGTTAAAAGCGGAATCTCAAATTTACTATTTCCCCGCCTGATAGTAGATTTTATACAAGACGAGAGTTTATGGTTCAATGCAGCTGCCAAGTTCTTAGGCTGTTCGACAAAATAATTATTCAGAGTCTCTGCTATGGCTTTCTTATCTTGAACTTGTTCAGCGTTTTCTGTAAGGCTATTAAGTCCACACTGAACATCTCCGTCGTCTCTAGAGAGACATTTAATTAGGTTCCAGAGTTTTCTTGAGTTGTTCTTATTTTCAGATATTTTCTCTTTGAAGAATGATTGTTTAGTATCCCTAATTAGTTGAGTGACTTTGGTTTTTGCTTGCTTGAACGAGTCCCAGTCAGAATTTAGTTGGCTCTTTCGAGCTTTTTTCAGAAAATTATCACGCACTTTGATCTCACGATAAATTTCACTTGTAAACCATTTGGGTTGAACCACAAGTTTGACGCGTTTTTGTTTTAAAGGAAGGTAATCGTCAATAACAGAATTGAATATCTTGTACCATGCTTCAACAATATCATCAGTCGTATCAAACAAAAATGCACAATCCCAAGGGGCATTTTTAAGAGAAGCAATAAATGCCTCTTTATCCAGCTTGCCAATGTCTCTATAGTTGATAATATTTGCTTTGTCGCACGTTTCTCCTTTGGCACACTTATATGTCCTAGTTGACACAATAGGCAGATGGTCTGAAATTCCAGAGTTAATGGTGTGTACATTGCTCATCCGCTTCGGATGAGTGCACCAAATGTGAGACAGGTGCGAGATTCTGGACGTGTTATCACTTTCACGGGCTGGCTGAGATTTAGCGATGTCAAAGCTTTGATGAAAGAATGCTTTTTAAATTTCGCGCTCGATAAGTAATCCACGTTTACGTCACCAAAAACCGCTAGCTCTTTGCCAAGGAGAGAAACATTTTCGATATTTTTACTCAACTTCTTGCCATCCGCCGCTTTTGAAGAGGGAGTTCTATAAATTCCGCCAATAAAGAGAGATCGTTTCGATTTATGCGGATAAGTTTCAATCCACAACGCTTCAACATCAGTTGCCTCAAGGTCTGTTCGGCGCTTGACTTTTAACGAATTTTTTACGTATGCCATTAAGCCTCCACCCGAATTTCTAATCCTGTCTTTTCGATAAACTTGGTATCCAGGAATACTATAGAAAGTATCGGGTATCTTCTTAGAGCCAAATAATTCACT